GTAAAAAAAAAAGAGTGGGAGATAATGTACTCTACAAATTGATTTATTAATATCATGTACCCTTCATCAAGATTTTATAAAACCCTTTTTTAGTACATTCCAGTTTTAGGTACTCTTTTAGGGCATATGACAGTTCCACAAATCCTTCGAAGGTTTGTTATACGTTGCACTTTCATAAACCCTTACGCGCTTATAAAAGTGATAAACCCTTTAAAGATTGATGAAAAAGGAATAGTGAACCATCGAAGAGTTTATTACTTTTATAAGCGCGTAAGGGTTTATGAAAGTGCAACGTATAACAAACCTTCGAAGGGTTTGTGGAACTGTCATATACCCTAAAAGAGTACCTAAAACTGGAATGTACTAAAAAAGGGTTTTATAAAATCTTGATGAAGGGTACATGATATTAATAAATCAATTTGTAGAGTACATTATCTCCCACTCTTTTTTTTACAGTGTAGTCACCGCCAATGAGCTTTCTTAAAAACTCAAAAGTCTCACTGAAGATGTGTGTATACAAAATTCTTTTTTCGTTGATGAAGATACATGGCCGTTCTCAAGCGTAACTGCGCGATTGTGATAGTACTGACAGTAATAACTACAGTACTTCTAACTTCGAAGCTACAAATATATTTCTTTTCCGGTAACTCAAGTTGCAGTGCACGTAGTTCAGATTATGTATTTGTAAATCCGCGTATTCTTTTTTACGTATTTCCACAGTGGCATTCCGTACCAGAAAATAATAGAATACATGGGTGGGATTTTACAGATTGGGACTTAGTCAGAAAGTTGAGTCAACGAACTGCTGGAAACAAAAATGTTCAAACACCTACAGAATTAGGGTGGTACAACCTCCTTTCCTACCATGTGCGTAAACGTCAATGGGAACTATTACGTGAATACGGTGGCTATGGATTTATTTATCATGTATATTGGTTTACGGACCACCCCACGATGGATGAGCCTATGCGACAGATGCTAGCCGATAGAGATATAAATATCCCCTATATAGTTAGTTGGGCGAACGAGGATTGGATTGCTCGTTGGAAGGATGGAGATAATCGCTTGATTATGTCCATCAATATCAGCACTTCAAGAGCAAGGCGTAAATTTTTTCAATACCTCTTACCGTTCTTTCGAGATTATCGTTATATTCGAGTGAGAGGCAAGCCTGTTTTTCAAGTATACCAGGCGAACAAGGACATGGATCTTGTGTTCAAGGATTTTAAGCAATGGGCTATCGAAGCTGGTTTACCTGGACTGCATTGTCATCAAGTATTGGCACACTTTCATTCGGTAACCTTTAATCCTTTTGAGCCACAAAATTTTCATGTCCCTGTCTCCAAACTAGCAGATGGTGTAACAGAGTTTCAACCAAATCTTATAAAAAACTGGACATCTGCACGCTTTCTAAGTGCAGCTCACATACCTCGTCAGCATCCTGCGTATCACTGGCGTGGTCTTCATGTTGATTTCGATATAGGACCTCGACATACATTTTCGCCAACTGAACGTAGCCATCCCTTTCTTTTTGAGAAGCATTTACGAAAGACTATTGAAGCGATGCAAAATGACATACAAAAGCATTCTCTAATTCCGTCTGATCAATATGTATCCGTTAATGGTTGGAACGAATGGAGCGAAGGCAATACGATGGAGCCCAGTACTCTATATGGTCGAGGGTATTTAGAGGCAATGCAAATTGTTATAATGAAACATGTGAAAAATAGTAAAGTTTGTGTTTTGTTGGCTGCATCGCACAAAAAAGAATCGTTTGAACTATTATCATTAACACTGAATTCCATTCATGCACATCTTACTGAAGTAGAGTGGGAAATGCTTGTGTATTCTACGGATCCGACACCCCGAAAACCCACTGAATTTATGGATTACATACGGAATACTACTGAAAGTCGTCTTAGAGCGATTGATGTGCCGATATCTTTACAACAGACAAATACCAGTGGATATGACGTGTTGAGCTACTTGATGCCACATTGCCATGCCGTTCGTAATTCACATTATGTGTTATTTCTGGAAGCAGGTTATCAAGTCGTTAAAGCTCCTCACTCACCTAAAAACTGGGAAAGTTCTTGGTACTTTGCAGTCTTTTCATGTGACTCAGGAATTCAGGAACGTACAGCAGAACGCATTTGGTCACTCGAAGTAAATAGAACATTAGCATATGCCTTTGCATCTAAATGGTCGCGTCATATTGCTAGATGTAAGTCGAGGTAACTTCTTAAGATGTTAATCAATTTAGCGCCCCACCATATCAAATTATGTGGCAGATTCGCAGTATCGTGGAACATAAGTAGACAGTACAACTGACGAGGGAAGGCCACCAACTGCCTAATGGCTTTTGAGCTGAAACTCAGTTGACAATTGGTAATCGAACGTGCTGATTCCGAATATCTCACAAGGGAAGGTCCCCAGGTGTGTCCCGGGGATATTAATGAAAATGATGTGGGCTTATTAAGTCAAGTATACCTATCTCAGGTATGAAACAATTAGCGGCTACCGCTGCTGTAACAAAAAGTTATAGCCAAGACATTTTCCAAGAAGCCAACACATGTACTTCGCTAAACAAGTTTTTTCTCAAGAATACTTTTCTTGAGAATCTTTTTCATAAGAATTTTTTCTTTAACCACGATAGTTATAACTGAGTTGCATACCGTTTCATAAAGTACTGGTAGTTCTAAGTTTTTTTATTAATGTTTATGATCATTTACAAAAAAGTGGTTGAAACAAAGAATACGTCGGCAATGGCTGCAGCAAATGAAAGAGTAGCCATCGCACGCTACCGTAGAACAGAAATCTTCATCGAAGGAAAAACGCACATCATGAACATTCTCAGAATGACCAGGATCTTTTGAAGTGTAGCCGCTCGAATACCAAGAATATTTGATCATAGGTGAGAATGTTTTAGCTGATACTTGATTATGTATCAAAGAATGCATTTTTAAAATGCAGTTTCTAGAACAGATGTCAATGTTTATTTGATCAATGGCAACTCGATCATAAATGTTTTGTTTGAAATATTTCCATTGTCGAAAAAAATAACGATCGAATGGTTGAATATCAGCGGCTGTTTTTGGTGGAATCTGCATTTGCTTACAAGTGATATTTTTAATGAAAATATCATCATAAATATTAGGATCAGTCTGACCTGACCACGAGTCCCGCAACAGTAAACAATCTTCAGAAATCGATGGACTTACAACATTTTCAGCCCAATACTGAATATGTGTTTTAGTCAGTTTTCCACTCTTACTACAGCTAACATGAATGTTACTCGCTTGATAAATTGATTGTGTAACACGCGGTCCTAGTTTTCCTGTAGGTTCTTGTATACATAGGAAAACCGGCCCAATCAATTCTCCAGCCATACTAATGGTCGACATGATCGTGTATGAATGAGTAACAGCATACATTGATTTGACGTGACGCCTTATTATTTTTTCACTGGTTATTGCGAGAGGTCATGTTGATGGATGATCGTAACTGAGGGACCAAAGATGCTTT